ATATATGAAACTTTATTTAGAAGCTTTACTGTCAGTGAGAGTGATTTTCATTCTTTAGCATCATTAAAAGTAATGTTAGCGGCGGTAATGCAGGAATAGCTATTTCAAGATGGAACTTTTAATTTTTAGTAATTATCTTTTATATATCTGTGTCTATATCAGTATTAAATAGAAGCTGAAACTTGTACATTTTTATGCCTTATTCAAAACTGATTTATCACTCCTTTGTGCCATCATTGTGTCCTTTAAATGCTTCTGACATAGCACCAGTAACACTTTATTGCACTCACTTGTTTACATAGCTGTGGTTTTGCCCTAAAACCACAGACTAAACCATAGTCTAAAAACCCAGAGCTTATTTGCTTTATTTTCCTGCAATATCTATAGCATAATGAGTGTTCAATAATATTCATTAACTAGGTGAATGAATACTTATGCATGTTTTTGTTTTTCAGATTTAGCATGTAGACTGCTGGGGCAATCAATGGATGAGAGTGGATTACCACAACTGACCAGTTATGATTGTGAAGTTAATGCTCCTATACAAGGCAGCAGAAACCTACTGCAGGGTGAAGAATTACTCAGAGCTTTGGATCAAGTTAACTGAGCTTTTTCATAATCTCATTCCTTTTTTTGGACACTGGTGGCTCATTACCTAAAGCAGTCTATTTATATTTTCTATATCTAGTTTTAGAAGCCTGGCTACAATACTGCACAAACTTGGTTAGTTCAATCTTGATCCCCTTTCTACTTCATTTACATTAATGCTCTTTTTTAGTACATTCTTTAATGCCAGATCACAGCACGTTTCACAGTTCCTTGGTATTTAAACCATTACATTGCAGTAGCGTCATTTTTAAAATGCACCTTTTTATTTATTTATTTTGGGCTAGGGAGTTTGTCCCTTATCGAATTATTTTTAATAAGATGCCAATATAATTTTTTTTAAGAAGGCAGTAACCTTTCATCATGATCAGTTTGAAAAATTTTTACTCAGTTTTTTCACATTTTACATAAACAATAATGATTTGCCAGCAGTACATGGTAGCCACAATTGCACAATATATTTTCTTAAAAAAATACCAGCAGTTACTCATGCAATATATTCTGCATTTATAAAACTAGTTTTTAAGAAGAAATTTTTTTTTGGCCTATGAAATTGTTCAACCTGGAACATGACTTTGTTAATCATATAATGATGATTCTTAAATGCTTGTATGGTTTATTATTTAAATGGGTAAAGCCATTTACATGATATAGAAAGATATGCATATATCTGGAAGGTATGTGACATTTATTTGGATAAAATTCTCAATTCAGAGAAATGATCGGATGTTTCTTTAGTCACTTTGCCAGCTCAAAAGAAAACAGTATCCTATCTGTAGTTGTGGAAGTTTATGCTAATATTGTGTAATTGATATTAAACCTAAATGTTCTGCCCACCCTGTTGGTATAAAGATATTTTGAGCAGATTGTGAGCAAGAAAAAAAATCATGCTTTGTTAGCAAAATTGCCTAGTATGTTAATTTGCTCAAAATCTGATGTTTGGTTTTATGCACTTTGTCGCTATTAACATCCTTCTGTTTTCATATAGATTTCAATAATTGAGTAATTTTAGAAGCATTATTTTAGAAATATATAGTTGTCACAGTAAACATCTTGTTTTTCTATGTGCATTGTACAAATTTTTCATTCCTTTTGCTTTTTGTGGTTGGATCTAACACTAACTGTATTGTTTTGTTACATCAAATAAACATCTTCTGTGGACCAGGCCCCCTTTGATCAGCTTTTATGTTAAAATATTTGCTTCAGTGCCTCATAAAATTGATTACCAACAATTTAATTATGAAAATTACATCAATAATTATTTCTACATTTATTTTGTCACTTTATACTGTGTCCCTAAAGTCATGTTAAGTAAAATCAAATTATAATGTTCCACTGTAAAAAAATATGCTTTTAGAAAAGAAACTTGTCATTTATAAATTTATGAACCTATTAAAGTAAAGCCGATTTTAATGCTTTAATCCCAGGTGAATGGGATGAGTGAAGCAAATCCTGAACATTATAGTTACATAATGTTGTAAGGGCTAGAAGTGCCTCTAAAGATTTCCAATCTATTCCCATTTCATAGATGAAGAAATGTAGACCTCAAATGATAATCGACTTGTCCCAAGTCTTCAAGGTAATAAATGGTACACCAAAGATTTTTTTTTTTTTTTTTTTTTTGGTACACCAAAGATTTAAACTTAGGTCTTCTGACTCTGATATGAAACTAGAACAAACTTTGCATTTTTTGTTTTAATGATACTGTATATATTTTTAAAATAACTTTACTCATTTTTTCCTGTATTTTTTTATGGAATAGCTATATTTCTTTTTTTTTTAATTTTTATTGTTATGTTAATCACCATACATTACATCATTAGTTTTTGATGTAGTGTTCCATGATTCATTGTGCATAACACCCAGTGCTCCATGCAGAACGTGCCCTCTTTAATACCCATCACCAGGCTAACCCATCCTCCCACCCCCCTCCCCTCTAGAACCCTCAGTTTGTTTTTCAGAGTCCATCGTCTCTCATGGTTCGACTCCCCCTCCATTGTCTCTCATGGTTCGTCTCCCCCTCTGATTTCCCCCCCTTCATTCTTCCCCTCCTGCTATCTTTTATTTTTCTTAACATACATTGCATTATTTGTTTCAGAGGTACAGATCTGTGATTCAACAGTCTTGCACAATTCACAGAGCTCACCATAGCACATACTGTCCCCAATGTCTATCACCCAGCCACCCCATCCTTCCCACCCCCCCACTCCAGCAACCCTCAGTTTGTTTCCTGAGATTAAGAATTCCTCATATCAGTGAGGTTATATGATACATGTCTTTCTCTGATTGACTTATTTCACTATATTTCTTTTCTGATTATAAAAGTAATACATTCTCACTTTAAAAAATTTAGTACAAAAAGATGAAAAATCACTGTGAACCTCTGCACCCAGAAGTAACAGCAAATGATTTTTATGGACAAATTACAGAGGCAGTGCCAGAGCCTTAGGTCCTGTAACCTGATGTTATGAGAACAAAATATCCTGAACAAAATGAACTAAGCCCCAGATCTTAGGTGGCTGTTTTTCTCTCAGACTGAAAAAATGTTATTACAATTACATGAAAATTTGGGCACAAAAATTTGTAATATGAAGACTTACTCCAAGATTTGGGGAGCACATGTATATTTCACTGTAAATACTACAATGTGAAGTGCATCTGCATTTCATTACAGATAGTACAGAGATGGTATTTTAGAATAAAATAGTTGCTTCATATTTTCAGGTCAAAATACCAAAAATCCTGCTTATTTTGGTAGCAAATTAGCTCTAGTTGAAAACTAGAAGTGGATGTATAGTTTTCAAATATTAGTAAGTGGTCAGATTATATGTAATGACCGGGAGTCAGAAAATGACTTGTAAGAGCAATGATTAGAAGAGAAAGTCACTTTAAAGGACAGTAGAACTGGAAGAAAATAAGTACCCACCTTTTGGTCATTCAGAAATTCCACCCCCCCACACACACACACCCCGGAGTGCTTGAAGCTGTTGCAAATAGCAGAACCAGCTCTGCCTTCCCAGCATTGTGCCCTCTCTTTGAGACTCATTTACTTCTTTATAATGCCTTTCTCTGAAGTATAACCCTACTCTAACAACTAGAATTCTGTAATAGCTTTTCTCTCCTTATGCATGCCTATCACTTCCCCACTTTTTTGGTGCCACTGTGAGTGAATGATCACAGTATTATTTTCACACCTGAAGAAAGTATGGCAAAGGAATTTAGTGTGTTTTGTTTTGTTCTAAGCCTTATCTTTAACTTTGGAACTAAAAAGAGTTCCACAGAGAGCTTACCACAGTTAAATACAATGGCTTTTAGATTAGGAGTTTAAAATGAATCTGACATCTATTAGGTATATGTTAGACTTTGTGCTAAGCATTTTGCATGTTATCTTACAATCTTCAAAAAACACCTATGAATTAATATTTATATCTCATTTTATAGATGAGGAAACAGTCTTGGAGAGGTAGTTCAAGGTTCAAAGCATTTGAGCTGGCCATCAGTGACTCCACATAGCCCATGGTGCTGAACACCGCAGGGTGCCAGCCAGTTCAGTAGAACATATCCTTTTCCCTGGTAACTGTTTAAATAGCAAACAAGAGAAAACAGTGGGGTGAAGGTAATGATACCAGAGCACATTGAGGGCATGTCCTAAGGGAGAAATGGCAAGACATAAATGGAAATGAGTAAAAATGGTGTTCTACAGTGCTACCGAATTTTGAGTTTGAACGAGAGATTCAGGTGTCTGGTGACGGAGACATTAACTCAAGTGAAAGAGGTGATTTATGGAAAGCCCGCTAATGAACTATAAAAGGTTATACCAATGTATGATACGGTTCTCCCAGAGCTGTTTGACTTAATGGCATAACAGACATGTTTAAGTCTGTATAACTTTGCAACTATCACTCCAAATAGCTCTTTTCCCCTAAAACCTCTAAAATACAGAAAAGATGAGCTTAAAGTTACTGGCTTTGCATAAACTTAAACACTGAGATTCTAAAAGTTCTGATTTCTAATGTAGCAACATCAGAAACAAGTTGCAAAGAATATGGAATCTTTTTTCTAACAATAGGGTTTTGGTTAAATAAAACCTTTGCCAGCATGTTGCCAACTGTAACCAACAAAAGTGTAAAAAAAAAAATCTTTTACTCAGGTGTTTGGTTTTTTTTTTTTTTAAGGTCCGCTACTAACCACTCTACTCGTATTTCATCCTTTAAAATAGCGCTGAACCTGTTGTCCCAGATCGTTTTACAGATCGTTGTTCGATCTGTAGAATTTGATACTAATAGTCTCCTTGTACTATAAAAGCTATACCTTACCACAAACCCTCCTATAAAACGCCTTCTGGAGTTTTATTGTGTTCACACTTTTCAGAGGTTTGGACATAATTTTCTTACCTGTAGTGGACGGTTTTATCCAAGACGCTGCCCAGACACCCGATCTCCTTGTACTATTTAATTTCTTTTATTCCCTTGTCTCGGCTCCATGATCCGGGACGGAGAGAAAAGACAGGTGCCTGAGAGCAGCACTGATCAGACAGACCCCTCAGCGGGGAAATAACAAGGATGCGGAAGGGACCGGTCACCCCTTCTGTGCCTGGTGCCGCCGGTACTACATGATAAGGATGCGAAACACAAGCCGCTGGGAAAAACTTGCCCAAGCCCCGCCCGCCGCGCTGCAGGCCCCGCCCCGGTACGTGCTCGGGCGCAGCACCGCAGCCCCAGCCCCCGCCCCCGCCCCCGGCTCCGAGGCCGGGTTCGGCCCGTGGGGCTGCTGCTCCCGGCGCCCGCCTACGTGTGAAAGCTCATGTGAGCGGCGCGGCCCCTGCTGCCTCTGCCCGGGCGGGCCGCGTGCGCTGGTGGTCAGCAGCGCCCTTTGTCTTCGCGGATTTGTCCAATTCTCATGTCTGGCCTTTGTCCCAACATCTCTTGGCATGAGATGGTTGGGAGATTCAGGGAATAGAGACCCGCTGTGTTGCTGTGGAGCTGTCGGCGGAACTCCCAAATACTTTGGGGTGTGAAGCTGTGCTTTATGGAATAGAAAAGTATCTGAGGTGTCCTAACAGATTGGACCTTGTTTAACTATATAACAGGTTTTAAAAATTAGTCATCTACTAATCTGGTCAAAAACAGAGGACTCTTTTGGTTATTTAAATAAATTTCCCATGAGGCACTCAAAGATGTAGTTTATTTTAAATAAAGCACTTTGAGATATCCCTGATTAAGTAAATGGGAACTTTAGCTGCCCCAGGTGTTTTGTTTGGTTTTGCTTTTTGTTTGTCGTGTTTTTTGAATATTGTGTGCCAGCACCCTACTGAGGCCAGCTATTGAGAATCCTTTGGGAGAAGATAATCTTGTTGGACAGAAGGGAGGTGAGTTTATGGAATACGGAGAAGCCTGGGGCATTAAATTTAATCTGTAATTAGTATGTTAAGATTGTGCAGTTTGTAGTAAAAGTACAAAGAAAGGTATTGTTTAAATTAATAACCTCATATGTGCATATCCACAGTTGTCAACATTTTACATTTTATTTTAAATTGCTTCCTTCAGGAAAATTCAATGTTCATGGTTTTTCAAACAGAATATCCAAGAAAGTAAGAGTCGCATTTTTAAAAAGTGATCGAGGTGTTTTAAATATGTTTTACTAATAAAAACTGATCTGTAGCCTCAATCATCTTGTGTGTTTGTATTTATTGATTTAGAGGGGTGCCACTTAAAGAGAGTGCTACAACTCTTTTGGTCTTATGGATGCTTAATAATCATAAACTGGTGATTCTCCACAGAGCAGAGCAGGCTGGGGGGTGGGGTGGGTGGCTGTAATGTTTATCACCAAGGGCAATGTATTTTAAAAAGTTGAGAAACATCATACATACATATATATAGCCTCACAAGTAGACTAGAACTCTGTTAAGTCAATTCTATCTTTTAGAGATCTTTGAAACATTAAAACATTAAGAAACACTATATAGAGATCCTTTCCAAATATTTCTGGATAATATTTGCTCTTTGAAACAGATTTTTTTTTTAATGGTTCTACACATACCTGCTATGACAAACATAGGAGCTCTGAACAGCTGTGGGGTAAACCATCATAAACTGTTTCCTGATTTCCCAGTCTGCTGGTAGAATATTGAAAGCAAAAACAAAAGCATAAACAGAAGTGAGGTATTAACACTACAAATTAGAGAGGAGCCAGCACAGCCTGGGTAGGTGCTATGCCTCCTCCCAGGCAAATTCAACTGCAAACATCTGCCACTCCTGTGAACTTCCATGTCACTACACCTTTAGCTTTCTTCTTCTTCTCTTTTTTTTTTTTTTTTAGCTTCCTTGGTCATTTATGCATGTCTCATCTCCCCCAGTAAAGTTCTTAGCTCCTTCCAGCATGATTCCATATGATTCATCTTTGATTGCTCCTTAAAACCTTCCACTCTGCTTGCACAAGGACAATTCACACATGATTAAAGGTGGGAGAGGATCTCGTGTGACAAGGGGACCAGAGAAGAATTATGATCAGAGAAAGAGAATGGGGAAAACAGGACTATCTTCCAGTCTTCCAGTGAAATCCATTCATTCAGTGAACAATTACTGAGGGTGGAGTGAGTCCAAGGTGTTTGCTATGTTCAGAATGTTTGTTTCCTCTCAACATTCATATGTTGAAACCTAACCTCCAAGATGATACTAGTAGGAAGTGGGGCCTTTGGGCAGTGATTAGGTCATGAGGGTGGAGCCTCATGAAAGGGATTCCTGCCCTTATAATAGAGACCTTTTTTATGAGCCTCCACCCTCATGACCTAATCACTGCCCAAAGGCCCCACTTCCTAAAACTATCATCTTGGAGTTTAGGTTTCAAGATAGGAATGTTGATAGCCTCTCCTTGAGAGCTCCATTGCTTCCTTTGGCTGTGTGAGGATTCAATGAGAAGTCAGCCATCTGCAAGTGTAACAGGGTTCTCACCGGCCTCCAGAACTCCAGGAATCAGTGTCTGTTATTTATAAGCTCCCGAATTTATGGTATTTTTCTTAAAGCAGCTTGAACAGACTAGGACAATGTTATTCTAAGACCTGTGGATGATACAAATATTCCAGAATGTGGTCCCTACCATCAACAGCCCATTCTACGAGCTACTCACACATTCACCTGTTAATGGGCAGAACATGATTGAAAACTAAATAGAATGTTTATTGGCCATTTAAGATGTTCTGAGTCACCATTACCTCTTCTTTTAATGAATTGTTTCTGGCTTGATAATCTGTATCCAGACTACACTGCTCCCCGCAGGAACCTCCAATTTGGCTTCTGAAAAACTAACGGTGCTCCAAATGATTCATCATATGTTCTCCAAATGCCTCCTCCTCCTGCATTCCCTGCTCCGTGTCCCAAACCAATCCCTAGAGGTCACTTGTCACTTACGACCTTATCCACCACATCCAGTCTGACTCAGTTCTTCTTTTTCCTTAAATTTTCACTGTGGAAATTTTGAGTATGTACAAAAGTAAAGAGAATAGTCTAATGATGCCCAAGTCTCTGCTATTGGGTTCCCTAGGAAGTAGACTCCGAGATGGAGACTGCAGGTCATGTATTAGTGCTTTAAGGGACAACATGAGAAAGCAAAAAAGCGGAAGTGGGCAGAGGGAGAAACCAAGCTGAGATGCAGTCCCAACAAAGATCTTCAGCAGCCATATGTGGAGCTCTAGACCTGGAATAGTCCTTGAGAGTTGTCCCAAGTTACAGAGAGGGCTGGGGCCTTTACACCCCTACACTGATCAGTCATTGGATGGGGGAGTTATGCCTTTAAATGCATCTCCAGGAAAATGGCAGTAAGAGGAGCTCCATGGACTTGTTCCCCAGTGAAACAACTACAACTGGCAAGAATTTTTAAAAAATACCATTTAAAGTTTCTTGAAATTGTCTGAAGAGAATACAGCAGATGAAGAAAATTTTATTTAAGAAAATATACTAAATCTTGGTAAGAACATCAAGAGTTAGTGACACTTGAGCCATGACCTGCTGCCTCCCCCACTCTGCTCAGTATGACAAAAGCTCAACTCCAGGTGGGTGTGGCCAAGAAAGGGCTCCCTCTTCCCCTACATCCCAAAGGGCTATGGTATCTTTCTGGGAGGGCCAGGCAGCCAGCACTTCTCATCCTCTTTAACTTCATGTTGCAAAGGTAAGAGATTGGAGAGATCGGGAACTCCTTTCTTCCTTTCAGACACTATTCATAGGACAGGCTCTATCCCATGTGCAGCAGGCCAAGAGTGGTAGGACCCCAACTGCTTTCACCCCAGCTCACATTTGTAAGCTGGGAGTTCCATGCTAGCAGAGGCAGCCTGAGAAGAATTACTGCCCCCTCCCACAACCCTGCTCTCATTCTGAGAGAAGTGGGTCTCTATCCCCATCCCCAGCTCCATAGCAGTGGCTCAGAGATTTTGCCCAGGGGGAGAGAAAGTTCATTAGAACAGAAACTCAGAAGCTCTCCCCACAGGAATGGACTCTATTTGGAAGAGTGTGAGAAGATTCAAATCCAAAGGTGCTGTTAAAAACAGTGTATGTTTTGGTGGTAATTAAGAAGAAGCTGGTAGCTCCATGGCAGCAACAAGTTAAACTGCAGACCAAGGAGTTTACCAGAGAAAGCCAAGGAAGAGACAACTAAGAGAAGTCCTCTTGGGATCGGAACAGGCCTCAAAGACTACCTCTGCAAAGGAGCCTAAATATAATTGGATTAGACTGTGGAGCAATTCATGCCCCTAGGACACTGTCAAAAGCAATGGAGCAATCAATAGGCAATTACTGGAGCCTAATGGTTGGGTGTGATAACAACAGAGGCCCTTTAACAGAGAGATCTGGAAGAGACAGCCAAAGAAAGCCTTGCTAAAACCACTGTCATCCCAGGTAACTGTGTGCAAAGCCAGGGCTGTACCCTCTGAGTAGCTACTTAAGAGGCTTCACCTGGGGGAAATGGACTTCACTAAAATAGTCCAGCCAGGTCACTAAACAAATAAACAAGGACAAAAAACCAAAAAACAAAAACAATAAGCCCCATGGGAAAGAGGGAGCAATCAGTATTGAGAATTGATACAATAAGTTATATATACTAACAGTAAATATTTTGGTATCTTAACAACAGGTGCAGAGCCATACAATTGTGTATTGGCTTCAATTAGGCCTGCACATTTGATATATGACAGAAGTGACTTTTTAGACCATTAGGGAAAGGGTGGACTATTCAATCGGAGGTGCAAGGAAATTACACATATGGAAAATACATATACATAGATATATATGGTTATATATATATATGCAAAAAAGTGAAATTGGATCCTTAACTCATACCATACATAGAAATAATTTTTAGATGGATACAGTGAATTAAAAGTGAAAGGCAATACTTTAAGACTTTTGGAATAAACTTGTGGCAGCAATGTTGGCAATTCAACAAAGATTATGCACCTCTTCCATAGAGTTTTTGTGGGGAAGAGGTTGCCCAGTTAGGGACAACGTTTCCCAGGTTTCTTTGCCTTGGGGTAGGACGATGTGAGTGACTTATAGATAACAGGATGTGGACTGAAATAATGTACACCAGTGCTTCTTAAACTGTCTGTGGTAATGGACAATTTGTCTCCAATTTATTATGGATCAATACTTTTGTAAACGAAAACAGAAATAAATTACCAGAAAATTGATATTTAAAAAAGTCAGACCAAATGCAAGCCTGTTTTTTATTTAGAATTAACAGACATAAAATTACTTTGCCAGATTGCTATTAAAAGTTTACAAATACTTATTCTTAATTTCTGTACTACTAAGTGATGGAGAGGTATAAATAGGTTGTGGACCAGCAGAGTTTAGCAGACCACCCGTTGAGTGTACCACTCCTAGGCATGGCTCATAAAAATCTCTCAGGCCACTCCTAGGCATGGCTCATAAAAATCTCTCAGGCAATCTTTCACATTCTTTCTTCCTCTGTCTACAGACTAGATGTTGATGCTCAGGGTGACTTTAAAAAACAATGGCTGAAGATGGCAGAGACTTCATCAGTCTGGGTCCCTGGATGACTTCTCGGAGTAGAACCCTTCCTGCCCTAGCTTCCCATTAATGTGAAAAAAAATTTTTTCTTTTGTGTTAAGCTACTGAGCATTTAAGTTTATTAAGTCACACTACTGGCATTAGCTCAGCTAATAATGAAATATAGGGAACATATTTATAGACAAAAGTCCTTATTGGAAAAGATTTAAAAATTGACTACACTAAAAATAAGAATCTCTGTACATCAAAAATCACCATAAAGATAGTAAACAAAAACAAATCAGACTGGGGAAAGATATTTATAATACATACAACATACACCAGTTTAGTATTCAGAATATATAAGGTGATTCTACCAATCAACTGAAAAAGGTGAACAACCCAATTGAAACATGGACAAAATATATGAACAGGCATTTCGTAGTAGAGGGAATAGGAAAAAAATTAGAATTTAAGAAGATGCACAACCACGTTGATAATCAGAAAAATGCATATTAAGACCACAATTAGATACCAAGTTTTTGAGATGGTATGGCTGAATTTGGAACTGCCATACACTGATAGTGAAGTGAAAATCAGTTCAACCGTGCTAGAACAACAATTTAACATTATCTTTTAAAGTTTCACACTTGCACCCATTATCATCCAACAATTCTACTGTACGTTGTATATACTGCTGTAAGATGTAAGCAGAATTGCCAACTTTGGCAAACAAAAATAAAGGACCTCCTTTAAAATACAGTTAAACTGTGCTTAAGATAAACAAGAAGTAATTTTTAAAATTTTATCTGCAATTCAAATTTAATTTGGCCTCATCTACTTTATCTGGCAATCCTACAGATAAGAGGAGCCATGTACAAAAGTGTTCATGGTAGCATTGTTTATAATAGTAAAATCTAGAACCCACCTAAATTTGCAGAGAGGAAATAATGGATAAACTATGTATTCACACAACAGAACATTAGACAGCAGTGAAAATGAACTACAGCTATGAATAAATCTTAGAAACATTATTTAATGTAAAAAATAATTCAGGGGCGCCTGGGTGGCTGAGTGGTTAAGTGTCTGCCTTCGGCTCAGGTCATAATCCCAGAGTCCTGGGATCAGCCCGCATCAGGCTCCCTGCTCCACGGGAAGCCTGCTTCTCCCTCTCCCACTTCCCCTGCTTGTGTTCTCTCTCTCACTGTGTCTCTCTCTGTGAAATAAGTAAATAAATAAATAAATCTTTAAAAAAATTAAAAAATAATTCAAAGACCATGTATTAGAAATTGCAAAAAAAAAAAAAAGTAAAGTAAAAAAAATAAAAGAAAGGGGAGTGGTGCCTGGCTGGCTCAGTTGGTAAAGCATGCTACTCTTGATCTCTAGGCCATGAGTTCAAGTCCCAAGTTGGGACTTAAAAAAAAAAATTGCAAATACCATTTTCATAAGACTCAAAACCAACCACAACTAAACAATATAGTGTCCATACACATGTCATAAAGTATATACAAGAGAAGGAGAAGCAAAACAAGGTAGTTGTTAACTAAGGTAGTGGTAGAGGCAGAATAGGTTAGAGGAGGAGTTCACAGATTAATGTGACAGAGTTGGTAGTGTTCCTGTTCTGCACAGGTAGAAGGTACACGTGTATTCGTTTCATCGCTATGCTT